CATGCAGGGACAAGGTCGTGATTCCCGCTCTCCACAAGAGGAGACAGAGGCGCCCTCTGCTCGCCACTCGAGCGAATGGAGGGGGAACCTACGCGACAATAACAATAAAACTTTTCGATATCCCGACTTGTCGACGATAACTACCTACTACAGAGCGTAAATCTAACCAACTATAACTACTAACCCAAACTGTAAATCCTAATGACGTAGGTTTAAAACCGCTCTTAGAATTAAACAATAAACATTTAATGTGCCTGAATAGGGGAGTTTGATAGGCTAGGTGGACAAACATCTCGAAAAACTTTGAAAACAAACAAATAAAGGCACAGCAAATTCGACTAGTTTAATGTAATAAATTATGAATCGATGATACAATTGAACACTCTTGATCAGCTATTATACACAAGCAGAAGAAAAAACGTAAACATTATCCTACAAAGCAAGAGCTTCACAGCTTAATTGATCAAAATAAATTTTAAATAATAACCATAAGAACTGACCTACTCTATGTTGCACATTAAGTGGAAAAGCCCATATAAATAGTTTATGTATTAAGGACAAATCGCCGTGATACAAACAGACAAAAATTACGATGTTCTAGAGTTTGCTAAGATATAAACGGCTTCGGGGCGAATTTTTTCCAATCTATTTTTAAGCGTGGATATAATTTTTATGTTGAACCCAAATGGTAGCTAGTCGATAAAGCTCTGTTCGACGCATGCTTTCACTCGTTTTTCATACTCCCGTCGGTTTTCTTTGTAAAGCTGGGCAGCCATCGAGTTCGCTGGCGAATTCGGATTAGGATCACTAAGTAAAGACTGAAACAAAAATGTAATCTTAACTTTGAGAATCAGGTTTTAACATACATTTTTCGTAATGCTAAATTAACTAAAACTAAAAAAAGAAATTAAACTAAAAAGAATTATTTGCCACAAGGGAAGAACTTTGAAACTACAGGGTTACCTATTTTATGCTTGGGAAAGTAAAGCAAAAAAAACACACAAAATATTCAGATGGAGACGAAAATTTTAATTCAATATAAAGATTAAACCTTAAATTATTAATGTCATCTACGGGATCTCCTACAGGCCTCAATCTTTTGAGGTAATTTTGAATGACTTTTCGGCACATTACCGGTAATCTCTCGTAGTAATATCTCGGTGATAATTTCACGGATATTGGCTTTCAGATGCTCAAGGTTTTGAGGGGCTTTGAGGTTCGTTGGCGTAAACACAACCTTTCGTACAGCCCCACAAAAAGAAATCTAACGGTGTTAAGTCGCAGGATCTTGCGGGCCAATTGACATCACTCAATCTCGAAATTACGCGTCCTGGAAATTTCTCTTGCAATAGGGCTCTAACTACCGGTGTGTGACTTGTTGCCCCATCCTGCTGGAACCAGATATCTTCCAGATCATAATCTTCAATTTCTCTCCAAAAATAATCGGTTAACATGCGTCCATAGCGCTCAGAATTGACTGTTATGGCTCTTCCAACTACTAAAGTGTACATTGTAAACTGTTCAGTAAAAATTTATTTACTACTTCAGGTTTTAATGTTTTAATTCAACCCCTCATTTTGTAGACATTTTTATTCTCTACAAATCATCTCATTGGGCATTCCGATTACTCCATTATTATATTTTATAAACAAAAAGACAAACATCGCATCGCATTGAATTTTTGGCAATAAATTGTTAGTAACTAACATATGGACCGGAAATACGAGTGGAAAACAAATCCCTATTAATCTGATTATTATCTTTTATATAATCGCACATTTAGTTTGCTACTAGTCTTTTTGTCACGTTAAAGCATTTTTAAATATCATGTTAGTTTGGCTTAATTCGACAAGCTATAGTTTCCTAAAAGAGCGTAAAAACATAAAACAAAAGTCTTATATCTAGTTCGGTTTTCAGTTTTCGATATTCAAAGTAAACCATCCGAGTGTCTATATGAAAAACGGTAAAGCCAATTAATACATTTGGACTTAG